CTCAACCATTAAATATCTTCCATTAGCTGAAGGATTCTCAAATGCGAGAATATGTGCATTTGCGACATCTTTGACGTTAACCCACCCAAAGGTAGAATTTGGGTATGTCTCGGCACCTATATAACATGGAAAATAAACATTCAAAATGAGGAAAGGGAAGGTAAAACATATTTAATGAATAAACAGATTGCAATATCATTAGGGGGGAAAATAAGAAAAAGTAATTTTACCAATAAAATGATTACATTTTCATGACTAATATTGTCTGCCTCAATTGTTCTGTTTAGCCTTTGATTGATATTTAAACTTAAAAGGGTATATTACTATGAAGTCCTCTCTTTTTTTTGAGAATGTAACAGATTTATATATTAATAAAAAGACTTCACTAAAAAAGTGAAGTCACCCATATTTAGGGATGGCAATTGGGGCAGGGCAGGGTGTGGCAGGGCAACCTTTGACCCACTAAGATTTTGACCCGCCCCCGTTTAGCCTTGTTCCAAAATTTTGCCCTGCCCTGCCCTATTAAGCCCTGCCCCGTTCTGCCCCGTTTAGATTCATTTTCATTTTTTTTTCATTTTCCAGTAAATACTTTGTCTTACCCGTATATTTATATAAATACCATATTTTACATCAACTATGCCAAAGAAAAACAAAGAACATCATCTTTGTTTTAAACCATCATCTTCGAAGATTAACGTGCTATTTGGTTTTTAACCATCATCTTCGAAGATTAACTATGAGAAGATACATAATTTTTAACATGTATTGAAATATTGCAATTACATTTCAATATTTGTTGCAATTATATTTGTTTCAATATTTCAATATTTCAATTATATTGCAATTATATGTGTTTCTTAATTGTCAATATTTGTCTTTATACATATTGACAATTAAGAAGGGACTCCGGCATTCTTTTTAAAATTTTATCACGAATTATAAATTGCGAACAATTAAAGTTGGCATTAGTAAATGTCACGGCTGAAAATCATACAACACATGGCTTCTCTCACTCTCAAGATAATGCATAGTATGTATACTTTGGATTGTCTATTTCTTTAATTGTAGCTTTCACGTTACATTCATTAATACGTAGAAAATTCTACCATCCTTTAAAGGTATTATTCCAAATTTGTGTCTGTGACATCCTCTAGCTACTTCAATATCAATTTATGAAAAAGAAGACATAGAACAATAAAGTAAGCAAGGGGCTGACCTACAACCTGCCCTGCCCCATTAAAATTTTTCAAAAATATAGTTTTGCCCTGCCCTGCCCCGCCCCGCCCCATTTACATATTTCCCTGCCCTGCCCTGTTTACTGTTTGCCCTGCCCCGCCCCAATTGCCATCCCTACCCATATTTACAAAGAAAGTGCCCATAAAGGCAAAAACAGAGCACTACTAATCCTAGGTCATCTCACAAGGAGTCTAGAACATCAAAAATGGATTCATGATTCTCCAGACACTTTCCTTTACACCAAAAATAGAAAAGAGCCAAACATTTCATCTTTATCTTTTGGATATTATTGTATTTGTATTCAAAGCATCTTTGGTTTCTCTCTTCCCAAATTGTCCACCATATGCATGCTGGAACAATTCTCCATCTCTCTTTATAACTAGAAATGTTGCCCTCCCTATTCAGCAAGTTAGAACATCATTAATTCTTCCCGGCATTGCCCATGATATTCCCCTTAAGCTGATGAAGATTCTCCATATTTGGAGAGTGAAATTGCAATGCAAAAAAGGATGGCTAATTGTCTCTGTCTTCTCTCCACATAAGTAACATCTAGAACACAGGTGGAATCCTCTCTTGACTAAATTATCTTGTGTTAGTACTGCTTCTTTTGCAGTAACCATGTAAAGCATGCAACCTTGTATGGAACTTTTACTTTCCATATCATCTTCCATGGCCAATAGCAAACCTGGTTGTTGGACAAGTTGAATTCCTTGTAAGGAGACCTAACAGAAAACTTCCCCTGCCTATTGCTTTGCCATACGATAAGATCTTGATTAGAGTTGATACCACTGAATAGCTCCAAAGTATTGTAAAAGTCAGTTACTCTTTCAATTTCCCAATCATTTAGCATTCTTCTGAATGTAAGATTCCATCCATGATTAGTCCATGTCTCATGTAATGTTGCTTGTTGCTGTTGATTCAAGGAATATATGTCAGGAAAGAGATCCTTCAATGGTCCTTGTCCTAGCCAATTGTCATCCCACAGTGAAATCTTCCTACTATTTCCTACCTTGAACTTGGATTTATTAATCATTTTTGGCCATAGATTCCCGATTGACTTCCACAAACTGACGCCATATGGTCTTCTCCTTTGGTTGTCCATTTTCCTTCCGTTCCGTACTTCTCCGTAACAACCTCCTTCCACAGTGATTGTTCATCTGATGTAAATTTCCATAGCCACTTCATCATCAAACACTGATTCTGAACCCTTATGTTTTTTATTCCTAGTCCCCTTGCCTTTTTGCTAGTAGTGATGATGCTCCAGTTAACCAGGTGGAACTTCTTCTTCTCATTGTTGCCTTCCCATAGGAAATTTCTTCTTAAAGCATCAATTCTCTTCGCTACATTAACTGGGATAGGAAATAGAGACATCATATAAGTAGGCATGGCATCTAATACAGAGTTAATCAGAGTTAGTCTACCCCCATAGCTAGATATTGATTCTTCCAGTTTGCTAGCTTCTTTTCACACTTCTCCAACACTCCATTCCAAATTCCTTTTGATTTGCTCTCGACTTCCAGTGGCATCCCCAGGTATACAGTAGGGAGTTCACCTACATTCCCACCTAGAATATCAGCAAGACTTTGTACCTCCATTATCTCATTAACCGGATAAATGAAGCTTTTGTACCAATTTATGTGTAGAAGTGGCTTCGAAAAGAATGAATATCACCCTTAGTACTTTCAGTTGTTCTCTATCAGCTTCACAGAACACCAAAGTATCATCAACATACTGCAAGTGTGAAATCCTCATGTTGCTATCATCCCTGCAGTTCACCTTGAATCCTCTGATCCAATTGTTTGTCTGTGCTCTTTTTAGCATATCGTTCAAACCTTCCATCGCAATAATGAATAAGAAAGGGGATAGGGGATCTCCTTGTCTCAGACCCCTCTGGGAAGGGAAGAAACTAGCTGGTGCTCCATTGATGAGTACCGAGAAGCTTACAGTTGAGATGCAGTATTTTATCCGGTGAATCCATCTTCTACCAAAACCCATTCTTCTTAGTGTTTCAAGGAGAAAATTCGAGTTCAAATGATCATATGCTTTCTCTATATCCAGCTTGCATAGTATACCAGGTTCTCTGCTTGTTTTCCTTGTATCGATGCATTCATTAGCTATAAGGACAGCGTCCATGATCTGTCTGCCTCTTATGAAAGCCATTTGTTGAGAATCCACCAGCTTGTTGACCACCTTTTTTAGCCTCTCAGTCAGTAACTTGGAGATAATTTTGTATATACTGTCTATCAGACTGATAGGCTTGAAATCTCTCAGTTCTTTGGCCCCCTGCTTTTTAGGAATCAAAGCTACAAAAGTGGCATTAATGCTCTTTTCAAACATTCCTTGATCATAAAAGTTTTGAACCGCATCTACTACATCCTTTTTAACCACATCCCAGCAATTGGAGAAAAAGGCCATTGTGAAACCATTTGGACCTAGTGCTTTGTCACCTGCACATGCCTTAACACTGTCTCATATTTCCTGCTCTCCAAATGGACTCTCCAGCATTGAGTTATCTTCTGTGGTAAACATCTGGTTGTTTCTGATGGAACCTAGTGGCCTCCACTCCTCTTCTTCTGTGTATAGGTTTTGATAGAATCTGATCACCTCCCTCTTGATATCTTCCGGGTTTTGTAGAGATCCCCCTTCTACTATTAACTGATCTATATTATTAAATCTCCTGTGAGCATTAGCTGTTCTGTGGAAGAATTTGGTATTTCAGTCTCCCTTTTTTAACCAAAGGGCCCTGGATCTCTGTCTCCATGCTACTTCTTCATGGTTTGCAATCTCCTCAAACTCCATGGTCAATGATGTTTTTGTGATTATTTCCTCCTCTGACAAGCTCCTTTGGTCATGTATCTCCTCCAGCACTACAAGTTGGTTGAGGATACTTGCTTTCTGTAATGCTAAGTTGCCTTGAAGAGTTTTGCTCCATTCCTTTAACTTTGTCTTCAATGCTTTAAGCTTCACAGTTAGAATGAAATCTGGCCTTCTTCACAGGTGAAAGAGTTCCACCATTCTTCAATTCTGTCTTTGAATCCTTCAGTGTGTAACCACCAGTTCTCAAACTTAAAGTATGATTTAACTGGATCCCAACTACCACATTGCAGCATCAATGGATAATGATTTGAAGTAACTCTGTGAAGCAATGATTGCATTATGTTTCTGAAGTCTTCATTCCAGTCAGCAGAAATCAAGAATCTATCCAGTCTGGCTGCTATTACATGTCTGTCACCTTTTCTCCATGTGTACTCTCCTCCTGATAATTGGATATCTACCAGTTCCATGTCTCCAATGAAGTTTGAAAAATCAGTCATAGCTCTTGTGAATCTGGAACAATTCTTCTTCTCTGATGGGTACCTTACTGTATTGAAATCCCCACATACCACCCCAGGTCCATTAAATAGACCTCTTGCACCTGCTAGCTCCCACCATACTTCCTCCCTCTTTTTTCGATCATTAGGAGCATACACAAGATGCCATGCGTATTCCGGAGTCTTACTTGAAAATTTACATGTAACTGTATGTGCTCTAACCCAACATACCTCCCCCTTCCATATTCTACCATCCCACATTACTACAATACCCCCTCTAGTCCCACTAGCTTCCAGCTAAGCGAATTTCATCCATCTATTACCCCATAATTCTTTTACAATCTCCCTAATACCCCCTTCTATTTTATATTCTTGGAAGCAAAATATCTCTGCCTTCCAACTGAGTATCAAACTTTTAATTAATCTCCTTTTCCTGACTCTATTTAAGTCCCCTAACATTCCATGAAATAATGTTCACTAACATTGGCTATGACTGATGATGCTTCCCCCCTGCTTCTAGTTCTATTGCTCTTGAAATTGCTTCCAATATCAAAACCTTTCAGCTCTTTGAATCCCTTCTTCTTCTTTGAAATCTGGACATCCTGTGTAACTTCTTTCCCTTTGATCGCTTGCCTTCTGTTGTCAATTTTCATGTAAAGTTCCAATGCTTCTCTCTCACATCCACTAAAGTCCACCCCAAATTCTTTGCTCAATCTAATGATATTCTGATGTACCCATATTGATGCTTCAAATTCCAGGTCTTCTTCTGCCTCCAAGTTTTGATGGTTTAGAGGCACAATTTCTTCAATTGCCCATTCCACAGCCATATCAGATTCTTTTGATTGCATGTGCATGTTGTTGTAGCCCTCTAAATTTTGTCCCTTCCTTCTGTGCTCAGCAAGAATCAACATAGCGTTATCTTCGGGAATAGCTTCTTGTTGATTTTCTTTATCTCCATCATCCTCCCTCTCTTCTTTCTCTTCTTTTGAACTGTCGTTGTTGTTTCTTTCCTTTGGTTCCTCCCAGAAAGTGGTCATTTGATTTGCCCCAGAAGATTCGAACTGAATAGTTGTTATCTCTTCATTAAAAGGATCTGGCAAGTGCTTTGTGAATGGTATTTTAAATGCCTTCTCTTCAGATATAATTTGGGCCAATGAATCTGGGCACAATTCTTTTTTTGTTGTAGTGCTGCGAAACCCTATTAGTATTCATTAAAGAGTCACATAACTCATCACTTGCTCTTTTAGGGATAGGTTGAACCTGCTTTGAGCTACCCACATGTCCCATCAAAACACATGTAGCTCCTCCCCTATTGGCTGCTTGTTTGCTATTACTCTCAGGTTCAACACATGTAGCTCTGATCACTTGCTCTTTTAGTTTTGTTTCCTCCTCAGTTTCGATCCAGCCACCACAAAATTCCCCAACTTCTTTGAATACGTTTTGAGACCATCCCTCTAGCAGGTTCAACCTATCCCTCCCCTATTGGCTGCTTGTTTGCTATTACTCTCATGTTCGTGCGATTGTCTTCTCCGTTTACACCGCCGAACGTTCTCACCGGAGCTTCACACCAGATCTGAATCTCGAATACTACCCTTTCACATTCTACTTTCACTGTTTTTGGTATTGCCGATCCATCTCCTCTCACCTTTATTCTTGCCCATTTCAAGTGATTTTTTAGTTTTGTTTCCTCCTCAGTTTCGATCCAGCCACCACAAAATTCCCAAACTTCTTTGAATACGTTTTGAGACCATCCCTCTAGCAGAAGCCCTACTAATCTAATCCATACATGATTCATCATTTTATTTCTTGGAACGGACCCAACCATCGGATTCCACCATTGGAGCTTAACTTTGTGTTTCTTCAAAAACCATTCGCTTCTCAGTACATGGTCAGCGATTATTTTCGAAGAGAATTCGAAGAGGAACCTATTCTGGTGCATCTCGTAGATGTTGATTCCATGTGGTTGCTTCCAAGAATTTGCTGCCCATTTACGAACTTCCTATAAAGTTGCAATTTCGAAGTTTTCGTCTGGAATGAATCCCACCAGGCACCTGTCTAGCAAATCGTTGTGTGTTAAATCTCCAGAAATGTGTATAGTGTCTCCTTCTTGTTGGATCTCCGCTTCCTTCATATCTCTGCTTGCCCATTTATGGTTTCTGACTGTGTTTGAGTAAAGAAGTCCTTCAATGACTTTTGGAGCAATAATGGTGTTCCTTCGTACCCTGCCATTAATGAACCTTTCTATTTTTGTTGCAATATTTGACCAACCTGAATTGAATGTCGCCTCCGGAACAATAATAATTGACCTTCCCCTGCTTTGGACTTTAATGATGGTTATATACAAAAACTAAGTTGATCTCCCATTTTGTTTGAAATATACAAGAGAATTCACCTCTAGTTTAATAAGCACATCACCCCAGCATTGTCTTTTGCAATAATTGTACTTAACCATAGCCACCCCACCTAGCCCATCAGCCTCGAGTCCTTCAAATTCCAGCCAAAGCAACAGGACAACACCCAACAAGAGCAAAATGATAAAAAGCCGAACCAGTATTTTGGACGAATTGCTCTCAATTTAACCCCATTATTTTAAGCCATAAGACTGAGGTGAGAATCTTGTCATATTCATTTTTTTAAGGCAAATAATTTTATTAATAATGGGAAAAAGAACTCCCATATACGCTCTTGTCATATTCATACTAGGAGGAAGATCAATCTAGTTTTGTTAAAGTAGTCGAATAGGTCTACTTAGGTTGACCGAAAAGAAAAAGATGGCAGAATTTTGTGTTTTGTCTTGGCCTTAGAGACCGCCTTGGCATTGCACACAGCCTTGGTCTTGGCCTGCCGCGCGGCCTTTGATATTTCTATTTGTTAGATTTAACAGTCCTGTCCATGTTACTTCACCAGATTGATAAAGGTACTTAGTATAAGCTATAAGGTAAAGATTTAACTAACTAAAGTTTAAAACATACCATTTACCAAGTTCAAGACTGCACCAGAACTAGTATTGAGTGTAGGCTGTAACAAAGGACCAATAACCATAGCAGGATTTATTGCAACCATATCAATCCCTTTCTCCTTCACAAACTTCCATGCAGCATCCTCAGCCAATGTCTTTGAGAGAACATACCAGAGCTAAAAAGAAACACGAGGAAAGAAAATGTCATAGATTGAAATCCAGACCCCCGTGGAGGGGGGGGGATCAAAATAGTGGAGAGTCTACAATTCCCACAAGAGAGAGAGAGAGAGAGAGAGAGATTCAAAATGGTGGAAAGTATGCAGTTGCCAAGAGTAATAACATTATTCATATATTGAGCCTTTTTCTTTTCTAAGGAAGCTCGGAGACAGAAAACCGGAGATCTTCACAAAATGTGACTGCTTTATTTAAACATGCAAAGGACAAGGAGGTCACTTACAAGACTCATTGCAACTAATCTCAAAGATTTCAATCAAAAGAAACCAACGAAATGTATGTACTCACCAGACTTGATACGTCGCAAATAAAACATATAATGTAATATGAGATGATTCTTTATAATTAAAAAGTCACTAAAACAGCATAACTTTAAGCATATATGTCCAAAACACACGTCTTCCTAATTATATATCAACCAGAGAAGCGCTTGGATGAACACCTAAAAGTAAGGATCAGAAACTTCAATTGGCATAAATAACTTCAAAAATAGCAACTTGTGACATTAATCAGAATTAAGTGCCGAGCATAGATGCAGTAAGAAATTCTTTAAACTGGATTACCTTGTCATGGTTAATGAGTTCTTGTTGAGATTAAAATGATAAGATGCACACCGCTATGATGCGCCTGGTCAATCTTAGTACCAAGCTATCGTAAAAGTAACCTTGTCATGGTTAATGAGTTCTTGTTGAGATTAAAATGATAAGATGCACACCGCTATGATGCGCCTGGTCAATCTTAGTACCAAGCTATCGTAAAAGTAACCTTGTCATGGTTAATGAGTTCTTGTTGAGATTAAAATGATAAGATGCACACCGCTATGATGCGCCTGGTCAATCTTAGTACCAAGCTATCGTAAAAGTAACTGTAGGCAAAGAGTCTAGTTCATCACAAATCTAGGTAGCCCTTACACTCTTATAGAGAGTATATATTGTGTTTACAAATTTTTTAGGCACGCCTCGGCTGCTGTTTTAAACATTTATAAGTCCCTAATTTTCCCAATACACACACAAGAATAAATAGTTACACATTATTAGCACACTTTAAATTGTCCGTGAATGTGCCCTTAAAAAGACGAAGAAAGAACTATAGGCACACCTGTTTTTCCGTGAATGTGCCCAAAAAAGACGAAGAAAGAAATATAGGCACACCTGTTTTTCTCTGCAATAGTCTGGACTGGTCCACCAGCTTTCATCAACCACAACCTCAGGTGTCCGAGGCTGACCACTATAAGCAACTGCAGCTATGGAAGATGTTAAAACCACTCGTTTTACTGACGGTGCTTTGGCACATGAACCGAGAAGATTGAGTGTCCCCTTGACAGCAGGATCAAGTAACTCAGCCTGAAATATGGGCAAACCCAGGGTTGACTTGCAATGAAAACCATCACTAGAAAGCAAGTTGGCTATGTTAATTTCATAAAATAAATACCATTAACATAATACACATTTCATTTTCTGGAAAACATGACTAATCTTATTGTGCAACTACCAAATGTGAACAATTCCACCATCAGCTAGTAGAGGTCCATAAACAAAGCACCATAATAACATTATGAAATTCTTAAGATTTATATATTTCAAGAGCTGTATACTTTAATATTGGATTGTTCTCTCATGACATTTAAGCCACTGTCACAGTTTTCCTTTAAAGGGATGACCACTACTTACTTTTAAACATCATATTTGTGTAATATGTATAAGTTGGCCACTAATCTACAAATAATCTTTTTCGGGATCACTGAAAAATTATCATTTTTCATTTTTAAATGAACAATATCAAAGACAACTTTGATCCAAATTCCAAAAGAAGAATATGTATTAGCTTCGCTACTTTTTCAGAAAGTAATTATCTTTATATTATACCGTTTATAATTTCTAAATAATCCAAGCATCAGAATTAGATATTACAATTTTTTGTCATGCTATGCATGCAAAGCAAGTTAAGAAATTACGATAACACACGTTTCGTATGTAACTAATGTCTGGAAGACACTTTTATACTAGAAGGAAAATAAGTTTCAAAATGTACAAATGATGGGTCAAGTTGGCACATCAGACTATAACCCATTGTTAGCCCATCTTGATCCAACCCACTCGGGCTAGAATATACTTTTGGGATGGTCATCTATTGATTTGGCCAATTTTAACCGGCCAAATTCAGCCTACCCCACCCATTTTCTATCCCTACTACTTACTCTAATGAACTTTCCTCGACCAACCATAAGTCTAGTTTTATAGCCGCTAGATATGATCCAAAGCAGAGAGAGTTCTAGAGATAGATCAAGGAGAATTTGTTATCTTACCGACATGATTCAAACCATTCAATCACTACTTTTATTAGGTTTCATATTTTGTTTTTAAAAAAAATTAGCTTTCGTATTTATGTGAGAGTTTTATGAGCCGTTTGGATTGGCTTATTTTAAGTGCTTTTAAGCCAAAATTGTTATTAAGCCATTGTAGTGTTTGGATAAAGTAAAAAAATACTTTTAAGCACTTATTTTTAAGCTAAAATGACAAAAATAAGCCAAAAGCTAGAATTCCTAACTTATGGCTTTTGGCTTAAAAGTCACTTACAACAAGCTCATCCAAACGGGCTCTTAGTCTAATAGGTGGTAAAAAAGTAACTTAACTGACATTTGCGGACAAGTAATAATGGTGAATGATTTCTTTTTCTTTTTAGTAATGGTGGTGTTTGAGCCAACTTGCACATACCCCAAAAATCCCGTCGGTACCCACTATCTCCCACTAGCACAAGTACTGAGTAACTCTGTGCACCTATGCTTAGGCTGTTAGGCAGCTGGGGAGATATCACATAGCTTAAGCTAACTGTTTTTTCAATGGATGAACAGATTTCATGAAACTAAACTTTTAAAAAGTTTTCTATGGCAGTCTAATTTTGATACGGATCGTCAAGTTACTAAACAGCCAAGCTACAAAAGGAGCTTGAAAGAAGAGAAGAAAGAGAGTGAAATTTCAATCTGAAAAAGAGAAAAATATGAGTAGGACCGAACAAATGGAGAAGGAACCAGGACTAGAGAAAGTGAAAACGCAAATTATATTATGGCAGGACAAATGCTATGCTATGCTATGGCAGGACAATGAAACAGGACAAATGTTATGGTTCAACAGCATAGCATTGGGCTCCTTTCAAATGCAACTGAATTTCTCCTAGAGAGACTAGAAGTGGTGATATTGACTCTGTAATGACTAAAGCTAACTTGATATTAAGATAATAAAGATGCTGATTTCCACACTTCTATTGATTTCTAGAGAACACCATTACACTTTGGGCTTTTCTCAGCACTACCTAGAATAACAACAACAACAACAACAACAACCCAGTATAATCCCACTTAGTGGGGTCTGGGGAGGGTAGTGTGTACGCAGACCTTACCCCTACCCTTGGGTAGAGAGGCTGTTTCCAATAGACCCTCGGTATCCTTCCCTCCAAGAACTCCCCACCTTGCTCTTGGGGTGACTCGAACTCACAACCTCTTGGTTGGAAGTGGAGGTTGCTTACCATCAGAGCAACCCCTCTTGTCTACCTAGAATAAAGGATAAGTATTTACAATATCAAATTTACGAGAATGGGAGGGACCTGTGGATCTGTAACAGAGTAGTAAAATGGAGATGCTGTATGGAATACACCTTCACATCCATCAACCACAGCATCAAATGAACCTTCTTCTAAGAGGTTTGCTTTGAACAAGTGAAGCCTCTCTTCGGCCCCACCAAGGGAAAGCAAATGTTGTGTTTTCTTGGGATCATCTGCAAGAAGAAATCACAATGTATTCACCACATATAAGCAGTAAATATGACCTAATAACATAGGCATAGAATGAAATATCTAATTTTTTCATACTTCGATATTAAATTAAGAGCGCTGAAATTTTAAATCCATGTGATAGGCAAAACAAGATCAACCTTAGTAATCTTTTCTTTACTATACTAAACTTATTTAGTTCGTGTGTTAATAGGAGAAAAAACTCTAAATCACATGGTAGGGAAAGACCTACAATCTTGCGAAATTAATACAGACATAGCTAAGAACAAAATACATTTGAAGAAAAGTTGGTTTTGCGTAGTGATGTGCCATAATAATCAATTGAGTAATCAAGTCACAAAGCTTGAATTCTCTAAACAAAGGAAGGGAAGGGGGAGCTGGGAGAATAAGCAAGAAAAAGAAGACGGGGTGAGGGCGAAGGTGGGAGAATAAGCAATGGGATAAGTGGAAAACTTTTAAGTCACGGACTGCTACATAACCCATTTCCCCTACATTGGTCAAATAAGGACTTGGCCAAATTTTCATAAAATATGTTCTCCGGGTTCATCAGACACTGACCAACAATAAGGAGAAATTCTCATAACGAAAGAAGTGGCTGCAAGGTCATGGATGAGATAGGATTTGGTCTAATAGCAGGCCAGGGCCAGTGAGCGTTTGAATCAGAAAACATATGTACCAATACATAGAGGTATAATGTGTCAATGGCTCATAATGGGGCTGGAGGAGCAATATTAGGTGGTTTAACGTGGAGACGAAGCGGGAAGATGCAGAGAGCAATCAAATAATCTAGACACATTAATCAACCACTTTTTACTCAAACTTTATGTCTTCAGTAGACCAACTCCTATAGCAANCCAAACCAAAATCCTTCTTAAATACCAGACTTTTGTCTGTGGCCCAGTTTGAAGTCGTGTTGTGCGCCTAACACACACATCACGTACTGCGCTCTTAACACTAGACCAAAGCCCTGGGGGCAACAAAAGATGGATTTTTCTGCTCAACCATGTTTGAGAACGATACATGAGTCGATAACATAATCACAACATAAACTTGTATGACAAATTGAGAAAATATCTTTCCATTATCACAACATCATTTATATGTCAAATTTGAAAATCTCATTAGTACAAAGCCTTCTAACAATCCATTGGAGCACGGAGGAAGCCTAATGAAATCAAACCAAAATACTCAACTGAAGACCTTAATTAGACAAATAAATAAAAGTGTCCCTTCTCTAATAGCTTAAATTTTTAGATCAAACCGTTCATATAATCAATATGGTATCAAAGCAGATAGAGAGACTGCCACACATCATTAATTGAAAATAGAAAGAAAAACTTCTCACTATTTAAAAAAAAAAACACAATCTGGCCCGAGAAATAACATGGGGCCCACACGTGAATCAAGATATATAAATAAAAATATACAGCTCCGTAATAATTTAATCTTTTAGATGACACAGTCCTTGTATATCAAGGGTACACTTGTCTCCGTGTGACCTATAGGTCACAAGTTTCAAGCCGTGGTATCATTTTGCATCAAGGTAGGCGGCCTATGTCAATGTCACACCACTTGGTGCAACCTTCCCCGATTCTACGCGAATGCAGGACGTTTCGTGCGGCTGCCCTTTTCGTCCTTGAATATCAAAATATTAAATATCTTTTAAACCTAACATTCCAAGATCCTAACATCCCAAATGATCATAAACACAACAAACCAATTGCATGGCAATCAAACCGACATTTTTCTCCCAATTGTCATAAATCAAAATCCAAGAAACTCAACACCCATAAAAGATCACAAATCCATGTTCTCCATTTCTCCATCAAATGAAAAAACTGACCCAGAAACTAATAAAAAACGTGAATCGTTTGATTATAGAAAGAGATAAAAAGTGAGAGAAAAGGGGACAAACTTGGGTCACGAACGGAAGCCTTAACAGTGTAACCACGCTGGAGCAAGAATTTGACGAGCCATGACGCTATGTAACCTGAAGCTCCTGTTACGCATACTGTTTTCGCTGCTAAACTCATTCTTCCAAACAAGACACAGACACAGAAACAGAGGAATGGTGTTGAGAGAAAATGTGCGTATTTGGGATTTTGGGAATAAAGAATTGAGAGACTGATGGAAAAGGAAATTGAGAGATTATGCTTAAAAACCAGCCACGTGCGCTGTTTCCTTTCTTGGTAACTTTGTGTGTCAAATGATTAAAATGGTCCTTAATGTTTTGGGGTCGTGTATTTTGGTCCTTGATATATACACCCCTAAAAACTAACAAATTTGTTAAAAGTTATGTTTGTTACGAAATAAAAGCAATTTAGTAAAACATGAACAAGAAATAAAGACAATTTAGTAAAACATGAACAAGAAAGAGATAGAGAGAAAGGAAGAAATTTTCTTCTTCAATTGCGTGTATTTTCCTATTTATTACAAGACCTTTATATAGGCATGAAAAGTGAAGAAAATATGTCATGGAATATGTCATTGAATATGTCATTAACCATTTGAGAGAAAGATCATGGAGGAAGAGTAGACATCCACCATATTTTAATTTTTATCATAACACTCCCCCTTGGATGTCCATAAATAATGTGCCTCGTTAAAACCTTATTAGGAAAAAACCCTATGGGAAAAAAAATCCTAATAAGGGAAAAAGAGTACACATATTTATATGCCTTTTGGTTGCCTCGTTAAAAACCTTGCAAGGAAAACCCAATGGGATAAAACCTTGTAAGGGAAAAAGAGTACAACGCGTATTAACTCCCCCTAATGAGATTATTAGTTCACATCATTGAGCCTTCGTATCCCAATCTTGTACACTAGTTTCTTGAAGGTTGACGCCGATAGATATTTGGTGAACAAATCAGCCATATTATCACTTGAACGGATCCGTTGCACATTAATATCACCATTCTTTTGAAGATCATGTGTGAACAATAATTTAGGTAAAATGTGCTTTGTCCTAACTCCTTTATGAATCCTCTCTTTAATTGGGCTATGCATGTTGTATTTTCTTCATACAAAACTGTGGGTAGTTTGTCACACTTCAAACCACATTTGTCTCGAATAAGATGTATAGTAGACCTCAACCATACACATTCTCGACTTGCTTCATGAATAGCAATTATCTCAGCATGATTAGAAGTAGCCACAATTGATTGCTTAGTCGATCGCCAAGATAAGACAGTGCCACCACATGTAAACACATAACATGTTTGAGATCAAGCCTTGTGTGTGTCAGATAAATACTCCACATCGACATAACCAACAAGATCGGTATTGCAATCATTGCCATAAAATAAGCCCACACCGGTAATCCCCCTTAGATAACGCAATATGTGCTTGATTTCATTCCAATTTCTCCTTGAGCGGAGCTATATCTTGCTAAGACATTAACTGAAAAGGTTATGTCAGACCTTGTAGTGTTAGCAAGATATATTAGCGCACCAATTGCATTAAGATATGGTACTTTAGGACCAAGAAGCTCTTCATTATTTTCATGAGGTCAGAGTGGATCTTTATTTATATCGAGTAATCTTACAACTATCGGGGTACTTAATGGATGTGATTTATCCACATAAAAGCTCTTTAAAATCTTTTTAGTGTATGTTGATTGAAGGACAAAAATTCCATCTTTCATATATTCAATTTGTATACCAAGACAAAATTTTGTCTTTCCAAGATCTTTCATTTCAAATTCTTGCTTTCAACAATCTACTGCTTTAGGAAGCTCTCCAGGAGTTCTAATGATATTTGAATCATCAACATACATGGCGATTATAACAAATTCAAATTCATATCCTTTTATAAGGACACAAGGATAAATTAAATTATTCTTATACCCTTATTTCAACAAGTACTCTCTCGTGCGATTATACCACATGGGCCCTGATTGTTTCAATCCGTATAAGGATTTTTGAAGCTTTATTTAATAAATTTCTTGGAAACCTTAATATGCTCCAAGACAATTTAAA